GGTACTCGCTAAAAGAAATTGCAACCCATAAAAAACGAAATCGCACAAATCTAAAATTTATAGATACACTGCCGGCCAAAAGTTTCGAATCACCTGCTAATTTGCGGTAAAATTGAATCTGCTGCTAATTTTTTATAGATTTGAAATTGATGTTTCGGGGATCTATAGCATTTTACCTTATTTCGATTGATATGAACGAGGAAAAATTGGTTAAAATATTCTTAAAATTGCTAACTTTATTCTGGAAATTTTTCTATAACTTGTAACGCACAGTGATTTCAAACATTTCGCAAGTGTATATCGTTTAGGGTGTTGAAAGGAAAATATGATTCGGAACGTCATCTTTTCCTCGGAGTAGCCCGAAAAACATACGTGATTTTTGACGAGCAGTGTATATTTTTTACGTAGATATATTCTACATGTCTCGCTACGATGATCATCGTAAATTTCGTGTTAATGGATAGAGTAAAATTTGTGGTAAATTTACGTTAAAAACATTTCGAAATGTTACGAATGAATTATTATTCTACGAAACAGAGTTAACCCAGAGGGATCAAAAGCTTCACAGGATTTTTCATTTGCAATTTACAACTATCGTTGAAATATTTTTATTTCTGTTAAAAAATACTTGCTGTTAAAATCAATCTACCAATACAGATACTCTACAAAACAAAATCGCCCCTTTAGAAATATCATTCGCGCAGAATTGCTTTGTCAGACGAAATTTACCTTAATCAACTACAATTACGCATCTTCCAGGAAATTACAATTCGAAATCCGTATCTCGGTTTAATCTCCGCTTAATTAAACGATACCACTGATTACATCGCGAAACCAATGAGAGTTCTTTTAGCTGAAACACGAAATTAACCATCGAGAAAGAATAATTTCCCAGAGACGAACGAACGGTCGACGTTTAATTCGCCAATATTTCGCGGAGAGAGAGAGGAGAGAAACGCGGAATCTGGTGAATTATCCCGTTGAATTTTCGTTTCGGACGAACAGCCGTTAATTCTTGACGTTTCGAGGTAATTGGATAAATCGGAACGACCGCGAAACATCAGTTTACACAGACAGACGCGTGTCACGATTCCATCGTGAAAATGGAGTCGGTATCGCGGAGCTCAGGCTGAACCGGAAATTCTCCCCCCACTCTGGTCCGGAAGCTCACTGTTTCGCAATTCCGCCGGCACGACTTACCGGTAAATTCGATTTCTCTGTAAAGTTCGTAATTTGTTTGCTGCCGGCGTTACGAGGCATCGTGGATTTCTCTTGTCGTACATGGAATATAATAACGTGGCTCGAGTTATTCTTACATTTACATACGTGTTCTGGTTGTTTTGGGAGAAAATAATGCGCTTTTAGACGAAATTGAAAGGTGTGGAATATTTCCTCGATTTAATTTTACAACTGTGTTGCAACACAACGACGGATTCAACCGTGAGAGACGGGATCGCAGAAAAGAAACACTATTGACAGACTTCCTCTTGCGATGCCCGGTTTGCTCCAATTCCTCGAAACTAGGGGCAGATATTGGGGTATCACTGAGTTAAGACACTGAGGTGGGTGAGGAACGTCGTTACCCTGTTTTCACCTCAATTTATTAAAGTATAAGTGTATGGTCGCATAGGCGTACAATTTGTCCAGAATATACAATCGTTTACTTTGTTAATTGTCCCGGCGGCAGCGGTTCGGCGGGTACGTCGCGATGGTCGGTAAAGGAACAAACTGTCCGGAGGTGTAGGTGTACTAGGTTTTTATATTGTTAGGACAGGTAGACAGGAGTAGCGATAGATAAAGATAGAAGTGGAGAAAGTGGTGGAAACGGAAACGTGCGCTTCTTAGGCCACTCGAGGACGAAGGCAAGTCTTAATCCGGGGAGAGACAAAAGAACGGAAACTAAAATCTGAAGTTCGCGTGGAAGAATAGAACGAGGTTCGGTAAGGGTTTGTTGACGGCGACGTACCCGCCACAACACTTAGGGATCGTCGTTGCGTGAAACAGAACTTCATTTAACAGAGATTTTTGATGATACGTGACGTGTGCGTGGTAGAATGGAGAATGAACGCGGAAGTGGAAAAAATAGGGTTATTCAAGGGTTCTGGGAAGATGGACTTTGGGTTGTGACTATGTAGGAGAGTTGGAAGGTGAAGAGTCCAGTATGAGTAATGATGAAAGTGGGTGACTAGTTGTGAATACAGATAGAACTAAGGACTAAGAATGAAAATATTTGAGGGTGTAACACTCTGTAATATATAAAGTTTAATACGACAGCTATTTACACCGCGACACAACGTGGACGCGCGTGGAGAACAATGGAGAATCGGCCACTCGTCACTTATTGGTGATGCACGCACGCATTCAAGCCCCGTATCGCAGTCAGGTCCGTGAGAAAATCCGTCCCGAAGACAGTGAAGCGAGCACCTTGAAGCCACGCCCAGCGCGCTCGGTGGGGAGACGACTCCGCCCCTTTGGGTCTTTCCCTGGGCCTGTTCGCGTAGGGGTGAACAGGGATCGGCAGGACGACGCGTACACACTCTTCACGAGACCGTTGAACGCGTACTTTTTGCGAACGACGCTCAGATAGTTTAGTGTAAAATACACTGTTGCGAGAACGTAGAAACGTTTAATTAATTTTACGCCCACGCTACTCCGAGTTAGAGTACTTTCTGACAGGTCCCATTGCCAACAAACTGACTAACTCGAAAATTGACATTTTCAGGGTAAGTGTGTCAGAAATAATAAGTAAATAATAATAATAATAATAAGTGTGTGGGTAATTGTAGCAGTAAACTTTTGTATTTGGAAATGTCAGAATATACAAATTTGGTTAAATGAATAAATTTGGAAAGATGAAAGTTAAATAAATAAGTTTGAAAAGGTAAACGTTAAATAGAAAAATTTTTGACACATTTAAATTTTAAAATGCGTTTTTTTTTAAATTAACGAATTTCAGATGTTCAGTTGTAGCATTAAAGTGACGATTTGATTGTAGAAAGGTAGCAATAATGTTGAATTTTTTATTCTTCGATATTTTTATACTTTGCCTGAACGGTGAATAACAAGATATCTTTCAATGAAACACGGAGTGTATTATATAGATTTTAGATTTTTCCGTGGAAATCGATTTAAATAAATCTGCCTTCCTTGCGAGGAATGAGATTAAATTGCTTTTCGTATAATTCAATTTTCTTCTTCGGGAAATTCTACATTGATCAGTCGATACTAACTTCACCGGATAAAATAGCTTGGAACTTTTTAAGAGTTCTAGTTTCTGTTTTTTTTTTCTTTTCGTAATAATTTTGCAATTGGTATGAGAATCGATTCCAGAACCGTTTTGAAACCGAGATAGAACCGGAAAATAGATTTTAGAACCGATATGGAACCGAAAAAATAACGGTTTTAGTGTCGATATGGAATCGACACAATAACGGTTTCAGAACCAATATAGAACCGAAAAAATGGCTGTTTTAAAACCAATATAGAATCGAAAAAATAACCGTTCTGAAACCTATATGGAACCTAAACAATAACGGTTCTAGAATTGATATAGGACCGAAAAAGTGACGATTTTAGAACCAATATAGAACCGAAAAAATAACGATTTTAGAATTGAAAAAATTACGATTCCAAAACCTAAAAGATAACGTTTCTATGACTGAAGTAGAACCGAAAAAAAAACGGTTCTAGAGTCAATGTAGAACCTAAAAAATAACGGTTCTAGAATTGATATAGGACCGAAAAAGTGACGATTTTAGAACCAATATAGAACCGAAAAAATAACGATTTTAGAATTTAAAAAATTACGATTCCGAAACCTAAAAAGTAACGGTTCTAGAGTCAATATAGAACCGAAAACATAACGGTTTTAGAATCAATATAGAACCGAAAAATTAACGATTTTAGAATTTAAAAAATTACGATTCCGAAACCTAAAAAATAACGGTTCTAGAGTCAATATAGAACCGAAAACATAACGGTTTTAGAATCAATATAGAACCGAAAAATTAACGATTCTAGAACCGATATGGAACCGAAAAAATAACGATTCCAGAACGAATACGGAACCAAAAAATAACGATTCCAGAACTGATACAGAACCGAAAAAATAACGATTCCAGAACCGAAAAATGACCGATTTTATATCCGATAAAATAACTATTCTAGAACCAATACAAAACCGAAAAAAAACGTTTCTAGAACCAACATACAACCGCAAAAATAACGATTCCAAAATCGATATATACAATATAGAACCAACATAAAACGTAAGAAACAATGACTTCAGAACCGATACGTATAGAAACCGTAACCGTAACAAATACAACGAAAAACTTCAGTCCCTCGTAACAATTATCCGGAACAAAGAATCCCCGTAACAATTCGAAGAACCGAAATCGATAACACAATTATTTTCAATCCCTGCTTAAAGGTGTAAAACTCGGTTCTATAAAGAGATAAAGTAACTCTGTTAATTGGGTCAAGCGGTTAATTTGGACAACGTGAGCTATTATCAGTGGTTGCTTTCAGTAGGCCCTGCGATCATGCCTGCTCGGTCGCCTGTGTCTATTAAGTGGAAGCGGATTTACTCGTATACATAGTTTAATATCTTCCGGGTATATGTAATATATACAAGACTCGGATTGAATGTTTCCATTAGAGTTATTAAACGATATATCCGACAAACGGTACCCAGCTTTTGTTGAATCTCCCATGGAATCTTGTTAATTGCCCCGGGGCACGATGACCGGCAACGTATCGCCGTTTAATGAACTCTTAATCCGACAAAGAGAACCTCGGAAAAGTTCAACGAACCCGCTGGGTGGACATGCTGACCAAATTCGAGGATAATCGAGTAACGGGTAATTGAATTTTTCCCGCGGATAATCGCGCGGTGCTCGTCAAAAACGAACAAGACTTTCGTAAAAAATTGTCACCTTTTGAAAATATTTTTTAATTAAATGTACATCGCGGTGAATTCGATTCTCTAACTCAAAGCATTCTGAACAAATAGGAAATTTGTTTCTTCACGCCCGGAAAATAATAGAACAAAAATAAAATTGATCACTTTTGGCACATCAAATAGAGAAAAATGTGAGCGTTAAAGGGTTAGAATAATAACAGTTATAAGTATATTGTACTCGAAAAATAAATAATAAATATGAATCTACACTGCAACCATTCGATACAATAAACGTCTACGAGAGAACACTTTAATCTCGTTGCACGGATACACTTCATTTTTCCACGTTTCATCGCGTTTAATTAAACACACCTCTAGTTCTATCGCTTTATACGTTATTTCACCGGCGATTAACTGCCGCGATTCATGCATATTACAATGCTTCTCTACTCACCGCCCTATTATTTCTCATATTATTCTATAATCCAGAAAATTCACGTGCACCAATGCACACCTGATTCCTGAACACACAGATCACCATCACCTGGCCGTGCAGCATCGCTAGATGCACGCTGTGGGAGCCCAGCCAGTTGTTCCGGAAGCCTTCTGAGCAGCAATACATCACCCTCTCAGAGCTCTCTGTCGTCTCTGGCAACAGGTGTGAGCTCTTCCTGCGGTGGTTGCTCGATAAGCGTTGCCCACGGTGCTTCCAGATCAGCTGGCCGAAGTCTTTCACCCCTACTTATTCCGCCGTCGCGCATTTCCGGAAGGTGAGGTCCTCGTCCTTCAGAATCGTTTTTACCGGATCGAGTGAAAATTCCACGTGAAATGTATGTAATCGTTCGAGGTTGAAAGAATCAATTTTTTTAAATTCGCTTCGTGAAAATTCCTCCGTGAAATGTATGTAATTGTTCGAGGTTCAAGGGTCTTCCTACTGTGACGGGTTGAGAAAATCAATTTTTTCTTTTCTCTCTGCATTTTCTTATACAGGGTGTCTGTTTTATCTCGATACAGTGAAATGTCTTTTAAGGTAGCGATGTTAGGAGAAGAATGTTTTAACGAAAGTTGTTTGGTACGAAGGGAGACATTATGTGGTATAAATATTGTTTTCGTACCGGGTATGGTGGGTGAGATTTCAAAGTCAGTTTAATTTTTTTTAATGGAATGCTATATTGTTTTATACATAATACGATAGTGTATGTTAAGACGAGTTCAACGAGGTGCGAACATAGTCATTTCCTTTCGTGGAAGGTCGTTGAATTGCGAAAAACCGGGAGCCGGATCACCACACGTTCCTCACTGTCGCGTCGGCCCGCTAAGCCATCTGGAAAATGTGTCCGGGAAGTTTTGAAGCTTAATTCTCGAAATTGGGAGAGGTATATGCCTTCTAAGGAAGCGGTTTTCTGTAGTCTTGAGCTGTAGTTGAAACTTTAAACGCGTTTTTCTCGAAACAGGATTTTTGAAACTGGCTGACATGATTACTGAAAAACCAGGAATCCAATCCACTCGAAATTTGTCAGGTATATTCGGTAAATGTTGCTTTATCGTCTGAATTAGAATTGTGCGAATATTTTCAAAATTCAGTATTTGTGGTAAAAAAAACCATTGTTTTTGCTAAAATCGAAAGTAATTTCTTTGAAACCTTGCCGTTTCTTTATTTCTCAATATTTTTTTATTATTCTAGTACAGACGATAGCCACACGTCTACGGATTGAGAATACGTTTGCATTTTGTATTTTGGATAAGTAGAACGTCTGATATCGTGTCAGCCATCGTGAAGGATATTTTTCAAGGCGCTCTCTTCACGGTGCTCCTATTCTACAACAAACGGATATTTTCACTTGTGAAAAATATTTCTGTGTTCTCAAAAGATGGTAGAATAAGCGCACAAATTTGTAAAAGGATAGGTGCAGCAGTTGCTTCGTTATTAAGTATTCCTCAGCCGTCGCAGTAGGAAGACCCTTTAAACACACGGTTATACCTAGGCGGTGTGAAAATGATCGTTGAATATCGAATAATGATAAAGTGAGAATTAATTGGAAGCGACGAGTGTAAAAAGAATTGCGTATAGAGCTATCGAGCTCCGTTTTTCTCGCAATTATGTTTATGTTATGTTTCAATGTTGCAATTATGTTATGTTTCTGTCCAATATCATTCCAATGTATTCCTTGTTTTCTTTTCGAAGATTAGCGAGAATTGTACAATGGTGGGCTGTGTAAAATAGGGCAGGTAATTTGTAATTTAAATGGTTTCGAAGGGTTAATAAGGTGGAAGACAAAATTTTTTACAAATGCCATTTTTTTTCTGTTCCTTTTTTAAAGGTCGTCTATGTTTTTTTAAATGAATGTATATGATTTTTCTGGTGTACGTTGTAGCAGACGGTGATGTGCATTTAAAATGACCTGGGATTCTGAAATTTCAAAAACTTCCTTTCATTTTTTTACATTTCTTCCATCAGGAAATTTTTTTTACAAATGCCACTTTTTCTGTTTCTCTTTTAAAGCTCATTCATGTTTTTCTCAAGTGAATATGTATAATTTTTTCTAATGTGTATTGTAGCAGACAGTGACGTGCATTGAGTCATGCATAATAACATAATCTTAAATCAAACGTGATTCTTCCTCTCATTTTTTCTCATTTCTTCCATCAAGAAAATTTTGTAACAGACATTGATGTGCATTTGAACTTGCATAATAGCATAACCTTAAAATGAGCTTCGACTCTGAAATTTCAAATCAAACGTGAAACTTCCTTTCATTTTTTCCCATTTTCCCATCCATCCACCCTTGGAAACCATTTTAATTGTGTAGTGTTAGATATAAAAATGTGGTTTATTATAATGTATTAGAATTAAAGTTAAGGTAACAGGACTATACATATACGATACGCTCGACTTCCAACTCAACACTGTCCTTTTCTCCGCAGGGAAAACTATCGCTGACTCTCGACTTCTTCTCCGCCACACCCTCATAAAACCATCGGCGACGCATCGGCCGATCGCCCGATGGGCCTGGTTCGTCGCTTTCCCTTTTACTGCCTTCTTCCTGTTCTTAAAACTATTCTTAGAAACTAGATAAAACGCTTAAAACTACGATACTACAATTATGTATAAAAAATTTTCTCGCACCACTGTAGAGCACAGAAGATAAGTGTCCTGTTTTACTTGGCCCACCCTGTATAGCGTTATTTTTCATCGCACAGTGTTTTCGTTCGAAATATCTCCTCAATATGGATTGTTCCTAACCTACAATATTTTAACAGAGTATATTTTTATGTAACAGCGACGGTGGACCACCTCCTCCAGCATCGCCATTGGGTTCCATACAGCCTGACCTCTATCAACGAAGAGACGGTCCCATATACCTCAAGGCTCGCGGGTTCGTATAATTTTTTACCATTTGACACGCTTCTTCGATCGTAAACTTTCTCTACCCACCCTCTCTCTACATCAGCATGATTAATTACTCGTGTCAATAACAGAATTTACCGAATATATCAAAGAAGTTTCGGGAACTTCGTTAACTGATTTGAATTTAAACGTAAGAAAATCTAAGTAGAACCGGTCCGTGTATGGTCAGACAGAGCTTCTTCGACGAAAAACTGTTTCGATGCATTCTTTCAGGAAACTGGCCCGAATACAGATGCTCCAAATTAATCGAAACTTCGAAGGAATATATTGACCTAGTAACAATCTCATTTGCGATTCTTACGCTGCAACTTCTACCCTTTGCTAACTTTATAACGAAGTTTCTGAAATATCCTGTACACTGTGTACGTACATACAGCTCGTAACACGGCTGTCTGTGATACAACGTTGTTTTAAAGTCAGTTAACCCTTTCGTGACTGAATTATTTTTTTTCTTTTTTTTTTTTTAAGAATTTCTTATTTATCTACCGATCGTTATTGCGTTTGTAATTGACGTTATACAAGCCGCACATTTACTAAAACGGTTAACTTGGAGAAACAAAAAGTAGGGAAAATTGATGAAATTATGTGTGTCACTCAGAATCTAAAATGATCGACTTAATAAAATTAAGTTTATTAAATGTTTTTTATTTATGAAGAATTAAACACCAAGCATGTGCTTTGATATTAAAATTGGAAGAATATGAAAAAGTGGAGTTAGTCGTTTTGGCTTCTGAGTGGCTCATGTATGAAATATAAATTAATATTAATATTTTTTACACCGTCTCAAATATTAATATTAATATTCTTCATACCGTCTCAAATATTAATATTAAAATTTGTTACACCGTCCTATTTTTCTTTAAGCATCAATCAAGTGCTTTACCACTAAAATTTAAAAAAATTCAAAAACTGAAGTTAACCACTTTAGCTTCTAAACCCCTCATACACAGATCAATTTTTCTACTCAATCGCACTACTCAACTAGAACACGTGCCACCTATTAGTCACGAAAGGGTTAAAGAAAATCACAGTGTACAAATAACACTTACCTGTTGTTTGACGGCAATTTTAACACCCTTATCAACGTGTGTTACTTATCACTTACATATTTTCGTACGATCGAAACCGGTAAAAACTTCGCTTCGTGTAAAATATTATTCGATGACCTACATGTCGATCTACTCCTGCCTAAACGCGCACAGTATCTGAAAAGATTGAATTACGGCTATTTTATTTGACTTAGACACGAGACACACGGATGATTAATACCCCCGGTCAATGTATAGCGGCAAGGCACGCGTTAACGTTTCGTATTGCTGTGTCTATTAATTGGAGCGTGCGATACTTGTATAATTAAAGCAGCGTGCACAAGTAGATTCGTGTTTATCGTTAAATATACGGGGACCAGCATGCAACGGCTATCGAACGAAAATAACCGATAATTAAGTATTTTCTGCTTGACTTCGTAGCACGATTGTTATTACGTCGTGTCGTTGTCGATGTGTCGCTGATTCCAAGTGGAAAAAATCACATTTTTTGTTATGTTTGATTGGATAATTGAAGGGTGCTTGTAGAAAATAGTGCTAAAAATCGAATTTTTTCTCCTGGACGAAGAGAAAAGTTAGGTGATTTTATATTATTTGCAAAATTTGATTCGTTTTTAATACTAAATGTGACTAAGAATACAGTAACTCTAATGCATCGCAGAATTTTCTATTTTTTGCGTTCATTTGGACGAAATTCGTGAGAAAGAAAATTGTGTTTGTAGGAAATTTTGTATTAGCCACTTCTTTGTTGTAAAGAAAACTCAATCTGTCGTTCATTTGAAATTTTCAAGAAATTGAAATAAAAATTTTTAAATTA